CTGTAAGTTTAGGGTAGCGGGGAAATTCAACGCCCACTGGAGGAAGAGACTTAGGGCTACGCCCACTCCCATATTTTGACCCGGAAGTTATTTCTTTGTAGCGTAAAAGACTACTTTTCCCGACGTGCCCCAGAAAAGTGCCCTCGATCAGTTTCCGAAGGGCCCGAGTTAGACTTTCTTTTTCTCTTCCAGCTTTTGGTACTTGCCAGACAGGTCGTCGTCTTTCTCGGGGTATCCAGGGTGCGGACAAGGTGGGAGAACCCTATGGAATCCAAGCTTAGGATCTCTTAGCCTCTCTCCAACCTCGGACTGGAGAGGAGACCCTGGCTGAGGGAAATGAACTCACCCGCTCAAAGCTCCGGCGAGCAAGTGGCGAACCTTGGACCCGAACCGGGTACTTGTGGCACGTTGCAAGGGGAAGGGTGTCCTCCTGAGCCAGGTGTCACTCAGCCGCTGGTTATCTCCTTTTAATCCAAGGAGGGCCCTTTTGGTTACCCTTCCCCCCAGCACCCAGAGCTCTGCCTTTTTTTTTTTTTTTTTTTTGTATTTTTAGTAGAGATGGGGTTTCACCGTGTTAACCAGGATGGTCTCGATCTCCTGACCTCGTGATCCGCCCTCCTTGGCCTCCCAAAGTGTTGGGATTACAGGCGTGAGCCACGGTGCCCGGCCACTATTGCTCTTCCATGTGTATTTCTGGTGACAATTTCTGACTGCATCAAGGATGTTTTTAGTCCACAGCTGTGGTCTGAATGACATCAAGGAAATCCTGATGCTCCCTGATACTGCTTTGAGGGAGGCCCTGTGAGTTTTCCTGTGGCTCTAAGATTTTTTGTGGGAAGGGAAGGGTCTTGCTCTGTCACCCAGGCTGGAGTGCAGTGGCGCGATCCTGGAACCTCTAACTCCTGGGTTCAAGTGATCCTCCCACTTCAGCCTCCTAAGCAGCTGGGAGTATAGGCAGCATCGATGCCCCTATTTTATTATTATTATTGTAGAGAAGGGGTCTCGCTATGTTGACCAGGCTGGTCTTGAACTCCTGGCTTCAAGCTATCCTCCCACCTAGGCCTCTCAAAGTGCTGGGATTACAGGCGTGAGCCACCATGCCCGGCCTTTAAGATTCTTTAGCCTCGTGGGGTCCAGTGGAAATATCAAGTGAGTTGCAAACGCAAATCACGTATGTAATTTCAAATTTTCTAGTAACCACATAAAAAAATTAAGAGGTTAGATTCATTTTCGTGATATTTTATTTAACCTGTTATACCCAAAATATTATTTCAATGTATAATCCATGTAAAAAAACTGAGGTATTTTCCTTTTTTGTACTGTCTTAGAAATCTTGGCGTGACATGGTGGCTCATGCCTGTAATCCCAGCACTTTGGGAGGCCGAGACAGGCGGGTCACTTGAGGTTACAAGTTCAAGACCAGCCTGGCCAACACGGCAAAACCCGGTTTCTATTCCATATACAAAAATAAAAAGGTGGGTGTGGTGGTGGGCGCCTGTGATCCCAGCTACTCAAGAGGCTGAGCCAGGAGACTCGCTTAAATCTGGTAGGTGGAGGTTTCAGTGAGCCGAGATCGCACCACTGCACTCCAGCCTGGGCAACAGAGCGAGACTCCATCTTAAAGAAAAAAAAAAAAAAGCCGGGCGCAGTGGCTCATACCTGTAATCCCAGCACTTTGGGAGGCTGAGGCAGGCAGATCATGAGGTCGGGAGTTTGAGACCACCCTGGCCAACACAGTGAAACCCCATCTCTACTAAAAATACAAAAATTAGCCGGGCCTGGTGGCGGGCGCTGGTAATCCCAGCTACTCTGGAGGCTGAGGCAGGAGAACTGCTTGAGCCCAGGAGGCGGAAGTTGCAGTGAGCTGAGATCATGCCATTATACTCCAGCCTGGGCAACAACAGCGAGACTCTGTGTCAAAAAAAAAAAAAAAAAATCAGAAAAAAAGAAAATCTAGTATTTCACATTTCCAACATATTTCAATTCAGACTAGCCACAAGCAGCTCTAGACAGTCTCCTTTAAGTCAAATCCACTGTCTGCTTAAGACAGGGTTTCGGGTGGGTGGTGACAGTACAGTACTGGAAGGGGAAGGAAACAAGCTTTGTTTCCTGGGTCCTGTTGCTCAGCAGCTTTCTACACCCTTGATTCTCAAACTTCCTAGTGTGCATCAGAATCACATGGAGAGTCTGATCATCAGCCTAAGTCTGGGATGAGACCCAAGAAAGTGGTTTTTTTTTTCTCTCTCTCTCTCTTTTTTTGGTAGAGATTTTGTCTTGCTATATTGCCCAGGCTGGTCTTGAACTCCCGGACTCAAGCAATTATCCCACCTCAGCCTCCCAAAGTGCTGGGATTACAGGTGTGAGCCACCACGGCTGGTTGACATCATTTTCTTAAATGCCCCTCCACTAAACCCCCTGAGGCTGCCCCACATGCTTCCCTGTAATCACAGCACTTTGAGAGGCCAGGGTGGGTGGATCACCTGAGATCAGGAGTTCAAGACCAGCCTGGCCAACATGGTGAAAACCCATCTCCGCTAAAAACACAAAAATTAGGCCGGGCGCAGTGCACCCGGGCCCCGTCCACTGATGACATACTTAGTTCTTGGCTCCCCTGCTGGAAATTAAGACCAGCCTCTAGGTGTTTCCATTTCCCACCTTCTCAGGCTCTCTCCTGCCTTTCTCCACATAGCTCCCACAGTCACAGTGAAGTATGCTGAGGATGGGGTCACTGGGCTGACGATGGGGTCGGCTGATGAGCCCTTCATGGGCTGAGCTGCTCTTGGATGCAGCCCTGTATCAGCATGACCTCTCTGTATTTTATGTATACGGATTTCACTAGACATTTGATGCCCCTGTATAAGATACGGAGTTGGACAGAGCCAAGAGGTTTTTTTGGTTTTTTTTGTTTGTTTGTTTGTTTTAAAGACAGAGTTTAACTGTGTCACCCAAGCTAGAGTGCAGTGCCATGATCTCAAGAGCCAAGGTTTAAACAGCGATTCTAAAATGTTCCTGGGGTGGGTGTGGTGGTTCACACCTGTAGTCCCAGCTACTCAGGAGGCTGAGGTAGGAGGATCACTTGAGCCCAGGAGATCCAGGTTACAATGAGCTGTGATCATGCCACTGCACTGCAGCCTGTGTGACAGAGCAAGACCCTATCTCCAAAACTGAAAACATTTTTAAATTTAAACTTCCTGGGTCTCCCCTTTTCTGGTCTTAGTGAATTTTTTTTTTTCCTTTGATTACAGATCTCACTGTTACCCAGGCTGGAGTGCAGTGGCTCAATCATAGCTCACTGTAGCCTCAACCTCCCAGGCTCAGGCGATCTCCTGCTAAACTTCCAGAGTAGCTGGGACCACAGGCACATGCCACCACACCTGGTTAATTTTTTGTAGAGATGGGGTAGGGGGGCAGTGTCTCACTATGTTGCCCAAGCTGGTCTTGAACTCCTGGGATCAAGCAATCCTCCTGCCTTGGCCTCCCAAAGTGCTGGAATTACAGGCATGAGCCACCGCATCTGGTCCTCAGTGCACTTCTTTTTTTTTTTTT